ACACACACACACACACACACACACACACACACACACACACACACACACACACACACACACACACACACAGGCGATATTCAACCCAGCTTTCAACACCTCCTATCGAAAGCACAGGGAGTCGTCTCTCTTAAAAAAACATGGGGATGAAACCTAACTCTGCTCCTTGCCCTGTGCAGACTGGAGCAGTCTTCCTGCCATTGTGATTGTCGTTATTGCCTTGTCTCAAATGGCAGGCCGGCTAATGTCAGCCATTCTCTGGGGACCCCGGCGTCCCCTCCAGCCCTCTCTGGCTGAGGAGCAATTTATCTGTCAGCATCCACCAGCACTCCTTCGCTACCTAATCCCTCATTTCGCCAGGGGCCACTCAAAGCCACATTGCTCCCAAATCCATCAAGAGGACGGCAGTCAAAGGCACTTGGCTGGCTCAGGGACAAGTGTCTGCACTGAATAACTGCAATCCCCGACTGACAGCAGCAGACAGGAATGAGCCCTGACAAAACAGTGGCACAATTATGGAGTGAGAGTTTTTGTGCTGACCGTCAGACCGTGTGATAGCGAGAAGTGAGAGATGCTGAACAAGTGGGGTGTGTTCATGCATGAACATGTACACACGCACGGCACGATACGTCTAATTGCACAACCAGAGCCAGAAATAGCAATTATAGGCTGCAATAGAATAACACATCCAAAACCACACATCAGTGTTTGGGTTGTAAAAACATCCCTGAGCAACAGCCAGCCACACCGGCTCTGAGCACCTATCACTGGCAGGAGCGTTTATGCTCCACCTTAGGTGTAAACAATAGTCACACGAAAATATTCTCAATATTTGTTATTGACTATCATAATACCAGTGTTTCTTTGTCCTGTCTCTTTGAGCTTCAAGATGTGACTTCACACGGCCGGTCTCACTCTGACTGTCCTCTCTACCGTTTACTCAACCAGTTAAAAAACAGCACAAGCCACTTCCTCATCCCCTGACCCAGGCCTGCCACCAATGTGCGTCAGTAGATCCCACACACACACACACACACCGCCGCAGACGCGCACGCACGCACACACACACACACACACACACACACACACCGCGCGGACGCGCGCGCACGCACGCACACACACACACACACACACACACACACACACACACACACACACATCGCAGCAACCCTGTCTGACTGTCTGGTTGTCTGTTTGCGTTTGTCAGTCTCACAATACATGAGTCATGCTGAGCTGCAGGGATGTATAAATAACTTGATAAGTGCATGAGAAAACCTGAAATTGTCTTGCACTTCAGAGTATGAAGTAAAAAGAACATAATTATATTATGTGCAGGTCAGGGAGGGTCTCATTTCCCCGAAAGGGAGCTTTTAAGACAACTGAAGATGGTTGTTACTTGATCATTTGCGGTTCATTTCCAAACCTCCTTTGCTCGTATACATGCTTATGCCATCATTATGGAGCCTACCCCCCTCTCTATGGCGGCGTAGACCTCTTATTTGGGTGTCTCCTGTGGCCGCCTCTTGCCAAGGGAAGGGGCTGACTGGTGACTCCCTGGAACCACAGCTGTCCCCCTGGGGGCTCACACGCTGAGCTTCGGGTTACAACATGTTTACCTTCTCCCGCAACTTCTGCTTTTTCGTGGACGTAGCGGCATGTGTGGATGCGTGTGTCTGAATGTGAACGTGTCATTAGGTACGGGTGTTGGACTGTTGTGCAACTAGAAACTCTGCAGAAAATCTCCCGAGGGTTTGTGTATATTTTTTGATGTTGCAGCCAATTGAAACATCAGTGTGTCACGAGTGTACAACACTCCCTCGTAGAAAGCAACTCAATGCAGCACACAAACTCAGTGAACAGTGTCACCCTGACCACAATGCAATGTGTTATTTGAGGCCAGGCATCCTCCATGCCACTTGCCTCCACAGCACACTGAGGAAACAGGAGAAAATGGAGAAAGAGAGAGAGAGAGAGCGAGAGAGAGAGAGAGAGAAAGAGAGAGAGAGAGAGAGAGAGAAATAACAGGAAGAGGAGGCAGGAGGGGAGCCTGGGGTTGGAGAGGTGGGGGAAGGGCTGTCCTTGTTCAGCAATGTTTCTGGCTTGAGGGTAGGGAGGGGGGGGGATGCTGGGCTCTAACTTCTGCATGTGCGCAGTCTCTTCAAAACAAACACTGAGCAAACACAATAAAAGAGAGCAAACTTTTGCCCCACCATAAATCTTGGTCAGATCATCAGGGGATCCACATGTACTTAAAAACAACAACCTGTGTGAATGTTGTCGTTAATGTGTGGATGGTTTTAGTCCATGTAAGTTACTGATATAATGAGCCATAATCAGTACAAAATGTTACATTAAGTTTCAGTTGACATGTCCACACTAAACAGATCACATTTAAAGTTGGCAGACTAAGTCCAAAGTTATTGAAACAATAAAGGAAAGTCTCTGCTCCACCTTCTAATTTGTTCATATAAAGTATTTAGCTTCTTAAGTGGCTTATTTGACAAATTTAATTTCCTCCTGCATAAGAAACAAGGTGTGACATGTTTCACTATTTATTTACTACTACTTGTTGGAATGAAAGGACTGTCAGAGTCTGATTTGTATAATGGTGTTTCCTTCTGGCTTTGTTGCATTTCATTTAGTTGCTTCAGTCTCCTATCTAGGTGCTATCCAAATAACAGGCAACGGTTAGTTTGCCTGGTGGCAGTCACAGGTAGCAATCTATTAAACAAATGTGAAAAAAGTCTCACTCTAAAAACACTTCTACTTTAGGATTGTCTGCACGCAACACTTCATGAATGGCACTAAGGGGAGATTCTGTTACTGCTGGGGGATATTAGTGGCCAGTTGCACTTGTTTATTGCCATCAAACTTCAGGCCTGTCTTTGAGTTTGTATAGTCAGCAGGATGCACATTTCCTCCTCACCAGTTGTAGGTGTTGCCGGTGAAACTGGTCTCCTATCAGCTGGAGTTTCTGGCCAATGCATGCCTCCACACTGCGGGCCACAGGTTGTTGCTGCTGCGGTAGCTGCTCCATCCCGTTTTGCTCCCCTTCACTCTCTTGTCGTCTCGCTTCCTGATCCCCAACAAGCTCAAAGTTTGCCGGGAAGTGCAATCGAAAACCTGCGTTGCCTGTTGAGTGTCAAGGCTGAGACTCGTTATTTTGTCAACAACCGCATAAAGATGTAAACACAGCAATGACACCTGACAGGGTGTTTTTTTTTACTGAGGTTATGTCTATGCCAAAGATGCGACAGGTACAAAGCGCAGCCAAGTATTGTTGAACGTGTCTTTGACCAATCAGATCGCTTGGCTTTAACCACAACTTTCCCAGCTGTTTGTTTTTTTTGCAATCAAACACTGTGAGTCATGTTTCACAAGTCACTCACACACACACACACACACGCACGCAACAAACTCACATGACTCAGTTTTTAGGTCAGTCAGTTGTTGTGGAGCTACTTCGGAATGATTACTTGTATATGGCTGCCAATGTAACACTGCTGTCACTGATAATCACTTCTCTGTGCAGTCGCTGCTTACGCAGGTAAGCACTCCTGTCACGTCCTGTCAGTCGCACTGCCAGTCTGGCGCCTTTTGAATAGCAAAGCAGCTGGGTACACTCCATACACACCATAAAAGCCACTGTGATCACGACTATCAGGCGCCAGTGCAGCAAAATTGTTACCCGCTTCTCACAGTGAGTCTCACATTATAGTTTCGTGCTCTAGTTTTATAACACTGGTTATCACGCACAGGGCAATGTTCCCTTTTTTTTTTCTCTCTTTTTGAAACACGGTACGTCATCGGCCTCACCGTAGAAGAGTGGTCTGGGCTCCTGTGCGACTCCACAGGGCAGCATGCCGTTGTTGGGTGCCAGGGCAGGGCCGGGTGTCTGCGTGCCCCGGTCTTCACACTTTATCTCCTTGAATACGGTGCGCCAGCAATTGGGGTCCGGCTCAAACACATCATCCTCCTCATCCTCCATGCGAGGGCGCTATAAGATGAGCGGCCTTAAAAAAGCGACGGGGCAGACAAGAGAGATTACAGCTACAGCTGAGTGAACAACATTTGTATATGAATCAAAGGCATCCCATTCACTAATGATGGGAGTAAGCTTTTCTGCATTTGTCCTAATGAGAATGATCTCAAGACACATTCATCATGCGTTCATTCCTCCTAAGCATTCCTTGTTATTATAGACAACCTGGTGTGTAATGAGTGCCTTCAAATCAATAAAGCCACACTGGACATGGACGAGTAGGGGAAGAGGGAAAGAAAACCCCTATCTGCCTTCACTTGTGGCAAAGAGCTCGGTGCTTATTTAGACAAATGGCTCTGTTCATCTGAGTGATGAAACCACACAATCCACTGCGGTTAGGAGGCTCGGTTGAGCCACATCTACATAACTGGGAGGCGGGCTGACAGAGTTAAATGAGAGGTAGAATCTCTCTTGTCTGTGCTAAGCAGCCCTTTGGACAGGAGCTTGTCTTCTTGAATAACTACCATGATTGCTTGCTTATAGTAATGATATCAGGTACTTTTTATAGCAAACAATTGCAGATATCAGTGCTCAGTGCACGTATATATATATATATATATATATATATATATATATATATATATATATATATAACTGTAATTTACACAATGTGTACATTTGATGACAGGAATAATTTTAAAAAGCATGATTATGAGTATTTAAAGGAACTCTACCGCAGTGTGGCGAGAATCCCAAGGAGCACTTGGGAAATCTCTCCAGTGACAACGATGCTCTGCACTCAACCTTGAATCTCACAGCGGGTCAAAGAGTTATCAAAATACGGGTGAAATTGAAGTTGCCTCAACAGTTAGCCCCCGAGTCACAATGGAGTTGTAATGCAGGGTTAGACTACTACCACACTTCCAAATTAGGGTCCACAGCAAAACGGTAATGACAGTCTTTGAGGAAAATCCTTAACCACTCTCCCTACCCTGGTCTGTCAGCCTGCCAGCCCCCCGGGAAGGAGTTCTCGTTTCTTCACCCAACATAAGCAGATTGGCCCGTCTCTAAGCATGCCCTGGACCTCACGACGTATACTGTGTGCGTTCACGATATACCCTATGTGTAAAACCGCTTCATGCTTTGTTTCGACAAAACACAGGGTAAGAACATGGAAGGCTCGGGGAAAAGAAAAGAAAAACCTCGAGGCTCAACTTTCCATCTTTCTGAGGCGCTCTACTGTCCAGACTGTTTGTGTCAGACAGTGGCTCCCCCTGCTGCAGAGCGAATAACCCGAACAAAAGGACGGGGGGGGGCAGCTCTGTTATTGACAGTTTCCATCCACTGGTATCAGAAGACTCGCACCATTTCTACTCTCTGTAACATTGTGCACAATAATGACGAGTTAGCTCCTCAACCTTTAAAGCGTGCCGGTATCTCGCGACAATAAACGGGAAAAAAAAAAGTAAAGCATAAACATATAAATGATGTCGAAAATTATAATTTTGTTATTCGAAAATACATTTGCAGTGATTTAAAAGAAAGGAAAAAAAAAAAGATTGATACGAATACATTTGCAGTGATGTAAAATAAATTGGAAATTGAAAAGAAATGTCTGGTATACACGTCTAAAGTATGTAATTACATGTTCACACGCGGAACTGATATGCATCTACGGAGAGAACGGCTGTCACTACATGTCTATACACACCGAAACACGACAGAGACACAAACCTGCAGTCTGAAGTCCATTCACCGCTCTGTAAACCGGGAAAGCCGGTATAATTCAAATCTCCGTTGTGTGAACGAATGTCAGAGTAACACCGAAACCTTCTTTCAGTTGGATTCCTTTGACATTTATATACAATAATGTACACCTAAACTGTCGAAACACAACGTCAACAGCGACACGTTGTGTGTTGCTTCTTCCTAAGGACGCGGATGTTCCTTAATGTTGACGCTCGTGCCGACTAGCTGGTGTAACGTGTACACTGCAGGAGAGGACGTTTCGACGTGTTTTGAGGCGCTTACCACGGAGATGGGCTTCGTTGTAAAGGCTGACTTGTACTCGGAGAAGAAAAAAAAAAGGACACCGGTTCAATATCCTGGCATGCAAGCGGGTTTAGTCCGTATCACCTCCACGACGACTTCCATTCTGTGAGGAAAAGTGCGGCGAGCCGATTTCATTTCGCCGACGTCAGCTCCAAACTGACTCCGCCGCCGGGGCGTGGTGCTGAAAGTTGGTAAATAAACCCTCCTTCAAAACGCGAGTGTGGTCTGTTGTCCAACTATATACGTCTTAGCCGAGGAGGAGCATGTCGCGTTAAGGGTGATTTACAACGCTGTAGCCAATCGTGGAGTTTGTTTTTATCCCGCCTTCTCCAGCGCGTATTCAGACACGTGGACGGGAAATTCCCCGTAGCACGAGACCGCTTTCACGCTACTACCGCGTTCATCTGTTCAGTGAAGTGCTTACATGCGCATAGGCAATAAGAAGAAACTGTAAAGGAACACTTAAGGGTCCGATTTCTTCCATCGATCTATCCATCTATATATAAATCTATAAATCCATATCTGACTGTTGCAACTTGATGAATATATTGTAGGTCTGTTAACTGACAAACAGTACCTTTTCCTACTGCATTACCGCATTGCCCAAGTTCCCATTTCATTTCAAATTTCACATTTAACTGTCAGATTTTAAGTTTTTGAATACCCGTAGTATATGTTCTGGTTAAATCAAACTGTTCACTGAGAAACGACTGTGACCTTTTGTTCATTATAAGTGGAAATGACCTCGATCCTATGGAAGTGGCCTACATCTTGATCAGTATAATTAGGCACCTGTAGAAGATGACACATGTGTGTGTAAGTTGTTTGTGTCACAAAAAAATTAACATCTTTTTGCCAAAGATCAGCCATGACACCATAAGTTGGGTCTTAAAACAGTCATCACAAGAGGCTTTATGTTAACCAGCCGATATAACAACAAACATTACAGATATATGAACAATCCTTTATTTTAGGTGATTTCAATCAGTTCATATCTTGACAGTTATCCATGCTGAGCTGATGCAGGTGCTGGTGATCTTCCCCCCTCCCCCCTCAGGGCTATTACTGATCAATAAACCTTCGGACAGCTGTAGCTGACCCTCAGCATTCTCTCACAGAGCATCTCCCTGCCCCCACCTCCCATTCCTCGCTCCCTGTCCCTCAGCTGTGATCATCCCACCACTGGGCTGCGTGAGAAGTCACGGGTCTCTGCCTCCTCTGTCCTGCCTGAATCGGATAGACCTTTAGGTTCAGACTTTGTCCCACCTGCGGCCTCTCCAAAGAGGTGGGGGTTCACTGTGGAAGAGGGGATTGTTTTTTCTCGCTCACTGTGATATTGGAGACTTGATCACTTCCTGCATGAGTGACCACTGTAAACAACAAAAGGCTCAAAGTTGTGGGAGCATTTAGTTGCAGCTTCCTTTTGTGCTCCAGCCAAACAAAGGAGACCCCTCCCTACTTAACAGACTTTCAAGAAAACACAGCTGTAATTACTAAAGAGACAGTCACAGTCCTTGTAACGACAGGTCATTGTCATAGACACAGTACGCAGGTGAAACTGTCCCAGTGCAGAGAGATGTAAGTTGTGAAAAAACATAATCACAAGTCAGATAACCTTTGCGAGGTAATTTTTTACTAAGCGTTTGACTGGTTCATTACTTGAAAAGTCCTGAGATGAAATATTAATGAAAAACCTAAGTGTATAGTATTGATGCCAGTACATATATCTTAAGAAACCAAACCTAAGTCTTTCATTAACATGCATTAGTCTGTGATGTATTAGCATTTGGGAGTAGCTGCAGAAATCATTGAGGCCATAAGGCAGCTCTCAGCGGGCCACATAGACAGGCCTCTATAACATAAATAATAAATATGGAGGAATTCACTGCGGCTCATACCACTCTCCAAGAACATGAATTTTACATCCAGCACATTGTTGACTTAACTAATTGAGCCATGTCTATCAGTATGTGGATTATGGCTTTTGATTATGAAAGACATGTCTCAAAGTCTTTGAAGTGCTCACCCACAGATTACGTTTGTACACTTAACCCAGGCAAAGCTCTCACTGAAATCAGGATACATTGACAGCATACAGTGCCAAACATCTGCCAATTTCTCTTTCTCTAATGCTAAACAATGTTGTCATTGACTTGAGCAACCGTTCATAAATAAGTTCTAATAGATGCCTGAGAACCCTGGGAGAAAAAAGACTGCCATCAGTTTATGTTACACCAGAAAAGCTATTTCTGAAGAGCAATGCATGCACACCCGATCACACTAGCAGGAGAATGCATGCACACACCCGTGCACGCAAGCACGCAAACACACACACATGGCTGCACAATCACATGCCCTACTTCCTCTGTATCCTCAAAAGCCCATTTCTTTCCTCTTGATATCTCGTCCATATGCATGTGCACACGCCCCTCTATCACAAACAGACACTGCCTGTCTCCCACCAAAACATTCTCCGGCATGTGAATCCTGCCTGGAAACTATAAAAAGGAGGGATTAATTTGCTCCAACTGAACATATTCCATGGCAACCGCATCCTGACTGCAAGCCAGTTGGATGAGGCGTATGCGGCACACTGACCCAATGACAGAGATCATACTGGAGCAGTGACCTGAAAACAAAAGGAGGCTGGCTTCTCTGCCCTCTCTGGCACTCCTCATGTCAACTAAAGAAACCCCAAAGACATCACTGAAATCCAGATAGTATTTAAGAGACTTTCCCCCTGAAACAGGACAACATGAGGATCGGGATCAGCAAAGTCTAATCTGAACCAAAGAGTCTGACAGTGTCTGAAGCTGTAAGGTTAAGAATGCAGTTTCCTTTTTCTTTTTCTAACAATGTATATTGTAAATACTAGTACAACCCAGATGAGGAAAAATAGTCCCAATACCAGTTGTTTTATACGTTTTATTATAACTGATTTGTATCTGTCACGGTAGATAACACAACAGTCACATGTGACAGCTAAATAAAGGGAAGACAAATGGTGAAAGTGTGTTTATTTTCTGTCAGCCTACAACGCCGAAAAGTCCTCTCGGATGAAGCCTGATTGAATAATGCAGCAGGCGTGGAGAGGTGGAGTGGGGTAATTTTGTGCTTGAACCCAACCTCTTTGAGAAATTGCGAAGGTGAGGCTAGTTATGAGCGCAATGACACCCGATCTGACCGCCGTAACTGAGAGCGCTGACTCAAACGGCCACCTTTGAAAGGGCTGTCTGGGATTCATACATCCCCGTCTGGCTGTAGACTACTGGCTAAACCTCCCGCTCTCAAAGTGACTCACATACAAAGATCTTTGTTGTTGTGGGGATCATCTCACACTTAACAATACTCATTCTCGAGAGAAATGTAGACTGATGAAGCCAATTGTGTTTGGTGCAAAGATATCCAAATGCTGTGCGTTCAGGATCCCTCAGTGAATGAGGTCATCACATTACGGTGATTACTTAGTGTGAGGACCATCCTGCTCCTTTGTGCTTCCAGTAGTCTAGATGATGACGAAGACACCGTCACTCTGACAT